CCCTCCCAACGGTTTTGAGGGCACATGTGGCATTTTGTTCTCATCCTCTCTTCCCACCCCTGGGCCCCCGTTCATTTAGTACGGATCCCGTTTGATTAAAATAAGATAATTACGCGTTGCAAAATTATTTATATTAAACATTTAATAAACATATATTAAATTCCATTAATCACATATAATAATATGATTAATTAAATTAAATTTATTATTATGAACTTTTGTTATGTAATAATTATTTTTTAATTTTTACTACTAATAAATAAATAAATAAAGCATGACATCTGGGGCGTAAAAGCTTTTGCCCCACCCGACGCCACGCTTATCCGCCTCGGTGCATGTATTATCTTTTTGTTGCCTTGTGTGCCTTGTGGTCCCCACCTAATCACACGTGTCGACGTTCCTAGCGCCAACAGAATGACACGTGTCAACCAATCAACGGTCCTAACTCCCAGTTGCCGTCATCATCAGGTGCCCATCCACTGCGCGTCTTTATCAGCCAATGCATGAACTCGGCTAATTCCAAACCCAGGGTTAATTTAGTAAATTAACCACTCCTCGGTACTAATTAGCCTTAATCCTTCCACGTGGCAGATTCTCATTTGAGATTACAAAACCAGATCAGAGATTCAGGTGCATACTATATAAACTCAGCAACCAAACAAAATATCAAAGAAGAAGTGTCATATTCTATATGCCCATTTAAAAGAATGGCTATGGCGACTCTTTGCGGCATTTGATTTTTGAGCAATCCTCTCAAAAATTTCAAAAAAGAAAAGAAATATTCATCTGCTTAATTTGACATGCTCTTCTTCTACCGGAAGGAAGCGAAATTGGAAGTAAAAAGCTTGGAATTCTGAAATTTGTATTGGAAGTGTTAGAGAAATTCTGCTTCAGAGACAGCGGGGTGCACGAAAATGGAGAGTACCGACTCATCGGCGGGCTCGCGACAGCCGCAATTGCCGCCGGGATTCCGGTTTCATCCAACCGATGAGGAGCTCGTGGTTCACTATCTTAAGAAGAAGGCCTCGTCAGCTCCGTTACCAGTTGCAATCATAGCTGAAGTTGATTTGTACAAGTTTGATCCGTGGGAGTTACCAGGTAGAATTACTGTTAATTATGTAAATATGTATTAAATATGTGTGCGTTTCTGTTTGTTTTCTTTTTTTATTTTTTAAGTTCTGTGGTGAGTTCTGATTCCATAAAGAGTAAATATGGGCGAGGATGACGATGGGGGAACGTGTTGATTGCAGCTAAGGCCACTTTTGGAGAGCAGGAATGGTACTTCTTTAGTCCTCGAGACAGGAAGTATCCAAACGGGGCGAGGCCAAACAGAGCGGCAACTTCAGGGTATTGGAAGGCTACCGGAACTGATAAGCCGGTGTTGACATCTGGCGGGACTCAAAAGGTTGGTGTTAAAAAGGCGCTTGTCTTCTATGGAGGGAAGCCGCCGAAGGGGATTAAGACCAACTGGATCATGCATGAATATAGGCTTGCTGATAATAAGACTAACAATAAGCCTCCTGGCTGCATCGACTTAGGAAACCGGAAGAACTCCTTAAGGGTACTAATTAATCGTTTCATGATTTCTTTTATTGGTAGATTATAATTTCAGACATCCATTAACGCTTCTGGTGGTTTTTTTGTTTTTTGGTTGGGATTGTTTTGGTTTAGCTTGACGATTGGGTTTTATGCCGAATCTACAAGAAGAACAACACAAACAGACCCATGGATCATGACAAGGAAGACTCCATGGATGACATGCTTGGTCCTATTCTACCTTCCATATCAGTTGGCTGTAACGGAAAACTTCATCTACCCACAAAGAGCATAGGCTACGGCTCGTTGCTGGATAATGACCAGAACCTGTTCGAAGGAATGATTAGCAACGATGGGATTAACAATGGTACGGCCATGTCACAATTGGAGTCTTCGAGCTCCAAGGCAGAGTTGTCAGGGTTGTCTGCTAAGAGAACACTGCCTTCACTATACTGGGCGGATGAAGAGCCCGGCGGTGGGCCTTCGACGAGCAAGAAATTTCATGGGGATATCAACGATGGAGGAATTAATGGAAGAGAAGAGGTAGATAATGGGAATGGGTCAGTTGTCACTCTGCTTAGCCAGCTACAGCCGCAAAACAACACTTCATTGCACCCTTCACAGTCAATGTTGGGGTTCATGGCGGATGGGATTTTTCGACCTCCATTTCAGCTGCCTGGATTGAATTGGTACTCTTGAATTAAGCTTCAATTTCAAGCTGATGTGGCACAAAAAATGGTACATATATATACTGTGTCTTGTGATCTTATATCTTCAAGAAATCAAAAGTTTGGGAGTAGCTAGCTATAGGATTTGGAAGCTGTTGGCGTTAATAATCACAAGTGTTTGATAATACACATATATACGTATACATATTTACACTTTCTGGATTTGGGTATTGAGATTTTGGTAATTGCCAGGGAAGATATAAGAGATGATCATGTTCACTCGTCAGAAGGATATTGGCTTCAAGTTCTCTCAAGTGTGCATGCAAATCTCATCATCAGGTCAGGCCACAAAGATATGTTACATATATAGATATATAGAATATTCTATCATATGCGTATACAAATAGATACACCAAGATATATTTATCTATATCTAAGTTTGTGTACACAAGTATGGATGTTAATTTTATATGTGGAAATGCAATAGGAGACTCAATACGAGGTTTGCTTATATACCTTATAGTATTGTAGAAGAATAAGGAGAAAAAAGAACTGATAACGAGTATACTATTTTTCTCTAGGATATACAGCATTAAAACATTGTATAGATGATAATGTTGACGATATGATGATGATGATGATGATGATGATGATCATATAAATATTTATATTCCTTTTGCTGTAGGACACTGTAATTATATATTATTGCTTCAAAATTTGAAGAGATATATGTTGATGATGATTATTATATATGTGGGTTTTTGTCTTGTGTGTGTGTGTGTATATACATATATATATATATGTATAGCTTTCTGTTCATTATTATCTTGTCCATTTTCATGGGTTTGACTGTGAGATGCGTTTGCTTTTTTGGATCATTCGACCAACTTGTTATTTAAAGACACCATTGGTGGAAGCTTTTCTTTTTTCCTTATAAATTTTCTCCTTTTTCTAAAAAATTATTTTCTATCTTCTGTATTAATTCACTCCTGCTTTTACACTTGTATATATATATACCCGTCTCTTTTGGGAGATAATACTGCACCATAAACCCTAGATGGCAAAAGATCTTTTTCCTTTCAGTTTTATTTCCTTTTCCCTTTTCATGACAAGATTATCAGATAAAAACACAGAAACATACAATTATATGAGTACAAAACAAATTATATATATATATATATATATATATACACTTTTTAGTTATCCGCTTCTTGATCACTAGGTTGGTAATTTATATAATCAGATATCCATTTAATATATATCGGTCATTAAAGTACAGTAAACAAAGCTTTCCATGTATGGTTTCGGACTCATTCTTCTTTCTTCCATCATATCGAGCTTTTCAAAATGAAGAACAAAAAACCAAGATAAAGAACATGGTTGGAATCGTATGCTCGCTAGTTCATCATATTTCATTATACTAAGTGTATTATATACGAATGCATATATGTATAGTTTTGAAAATATATAACTTTTTACGTTGTGTTTGATTCATATCTAATTTAATTTCTAATAAAATTTTTGGTTTTAGTTTTTGTATTAGTTTTCGTATATACATAATTAAAATATAATTTATTCCAACTACAATAATTATATTTAATTGTGCATGTTAAACTTAAAACTTTACAACCAAATGAATATGAGAATTACCACTAAAAGTTTACTAAGAATTGAAAAATCAAAAAACACAAATTTGAAGTGTTAATAATATGTATATATATATATAGTTTTTACGATTTACTAATGTACATATTATATATTTTTTAATTTAGAAAATATCTCTTATTTTTTCAGGAAAAAAAAAAATTCTTCTTCTTCAACAGAGTAGACCCAGAATTTTAGATATTTTATATACGTATATATATATATATATAATTATAATTATAATTATTGGGTTTAAGAGAAATCAATTCAAACCCAATAGACTTTTTGAGTAGTATATTAATTTTATAATTACTTCTTTCTTAATTTTTACAATAAACTTGAGAGTGATGGCTGAACTTCTGGAAAATGAGATTGAACCTTGTTAATTAATTAAAAAGATTACCCAAATGACCAATAATTAAGTAGATATGTAAAAGGGTCCAAATGAAAAGTTGATTTTAATTAATCTTGGTTTAATTCCCATAAACTGCAAGCTATTAGATTAATTTACTCCTAATTGTCATTTTCCTTGATAAGACATATGGGTAAGCATATTCCATGATCAATAGATGACACAAGTTGATCATAACAAAGAAAAGAGATATAATATATACACACACACACATATATATATATATAGAGAGAGAGAGAGAGAGGGTTTAGCAGTAATTTGAACTATTTGCATATATAGTGATATGACATAATTTTTTAATTAAAGTTCATAATAAAAAATTAAGAGTTATAATACTAAGAACCCATTGTTAAGGTAATAAGAAAATGTACGTGAATGTATATGTGTGTGTGTGTGTGTATGTATGTATGTATGTATGTATGTATGTATACAAATGACTAAAGGGGCCAATATTTCAACATCATAAAAAGGAATCATTATCCTAAAACCACACAAATTAAAAACCTCTTTAATTATACATTCCTTTTTGAGTAAAAGCGTACGAAACAACTTTTATAAAATTTCATATCAATCGTCTTCATTTTTGGAATGGGTGATATGCTCTCCTATCTCCACCCCCTTTAGTAGATCATGCTTTCTTTTTTAAAAAAAAATAAAATTAAATAACCTAAATTATGATCTATACATATATATATATATATATACACACACACCTTTACAATTGTAGTTTTTAATTAATTTTTACCTACAATTTGACTAATTTTTTTATTTTAAAAAGGATTAATCAAACCTTTAGGTTAGAGGAGAAGAGTTAACTTCTTATTCATATGACATATTTTATTAAAATTATAAGTGTTTATTTTGAATTTTTTTTTGCAATGGTAAAGATATGAAATAATTAGATTTTACCCAAATATCAAAACCCACATGTAATTTACCCTAAAAGTAATATTTTAAAATGTAAGAGACTAAAACCCTAAATTTTATAAAATTTCATTTTAATTTCTTGTTCCCAATAAACCCACATGTAATTTACCCTAAAAGTAATATTTTAAAATGTAAGAGACTAAAACCCTAAGTTTTATAAAATTTCTTTTTAATTTCTTATTCCCAATAAACCCACATGTAATTTACCCTAAAAGTAATATTTTAAAATGTAAGAGACTAAAACCCTAAATTTTATAAAATTTCATTTTAATTTCTTATTCACAAATAAACCCACATGTAATTTACCCTAAAAGTAATATTTTAAAATGTATGAGACTAAAACCCTAAATTTTATAAAATTTCATTTTAATTTCTTGTTCCCAATAAACCCACATGTAATTTACCCTAAAAATAATATTTTAAAATGTAAGAGACTAAAACCCTAAATTTTATAAAATTTCATTTTAATTTCTTATTCCCAATAAACCCACATGTAATTTATCCTAAAAGTAATATTTTAAAATGTATGAGACTAAAACCCTAAGTTTTATAAAATTTCATTTTAATTTCTTATTCCCAATAAACCCACATGTAATTTACCCTAAAAGTAATATTTTAAAATGTATGAGACTAAAACCCTAAGTTTTATAAAATTTCATTTTAATTTCTTATTCCCAATAAACCCACATGTAATTTTCCCTAAAAGTAATATTTTAAAATGTATGAGACTAAAACCCTAAGTTTTATAAAATTTCATTTTAATTTCTTATTCTGCATAAAAGAAATCTTGAACACTACCTTAATTTATAGAGAGTTTTTTTATATTCAAACTTATTTGTCGCTCGTCTCTTATTTTGCAAATAATATATAGAGTCTCAATTCTCACACTACAACAGTTACTCATATATAAAAGGGCACAAAAAATAGAGAATAAAACAAATTAAAATCTATATAATCAAATATCATCTTATAAATATATATATATATATATTAAAAGGGTTTGGATATACACATATATATGTTTTAAAGTAACAAAAATTCCTTTAAAACAAAACCTAGGCCCATAATAGAAGAATAGAAAGCTGTCAAGTACCAACATTTAACATATAATTTTTGGCATTGACCCACAAATTGATTCCTGAGCCATTCTCAGTATAAATACACCCTGGACCATGCTCAAGCCCACTATATCTATAGCCCATTTTTATCATAGCTAAGGCTTAGAATAGCTAAGGCTACCTACCCCCTCAATTATATTCTATTTATATTATGACCCCACTAATCCCCATATTTATTTCTCAATCATTAACTCACAAGATGTATAATTTAGGATGATACATCAAAAAAGAATTTGTAAATTTGAAGATAGGAAATAATATATTTTATCAAATTATATTAAAAATTAAAAAAAAAAAACAGTGGCTTAATTTATTTAGATATAAAAAAATGTAATCATTAAATAGTATATAAATAAATATTGAAGCTAAGCTTTACAGGCTTAGCAAACAGGAAAATTTGGAGACTTTACAGCTCAAGACAGAGAGATGGAATACTGTGTTGGGTTTGGGGTCCAACTCAGACATTTCATTGTATGTATTGTTTGTATTAACTATTTAAATTAAATTGTAAGTAAAAAAATAATTATTCTTTGAAGCTAAGGAAAGGGTCTTGGTGCTAACTCTAAAAAAGTCCTTGAACAGACTAGAATTCTTCTAATGTATGTATATGTGTATGTATATATATATATATATATATATAATATTACATAAAGTGGCTAATTTTGGTGGAAGTTGTTCTTGAATCTATGTTGAGGTAAAGGAATAGTTAGATTAGATTGAGAGAATGTATTTAATCATATGGATTTGATTTTCATTGTTAGCACTTTGGAAAAAATATATATATATATATATGCTTTAGAATTGTCTCCTTAAAAATATTCCCATAAGATTTTAAGTTTTAAGAATGTATCTACTTTATTCTTAATTAAGCTTCTATTAATAATAAGATCTTAATTATGTTTTTTTTTCTTAATCAGCACGTTTTTTTAGGTTAAATAAATTATGAGTTTGTTAATTTAATTCCTAAAGTTAAACAGCCTAAATTTGTTTGTAGTTTTACATTTGATTGATTTATATAACATTGTTACGGAGTTGATTTCTAAATGCGTGAAAAAATCTTCTAAAAAATTCTTGCATAACATTACTCGTAAGTTTCAATCTACTTTTTTATATGTTACTTAATCACTAAAAATGTTTAAGTTGTTTTTGAATTTTTTTATTATTTGAAGTCTTTTAATAAATGAAGTTAATGTTGTAGTTAGATATCGAAAGCGTAAGACACGGTTGAGTGACTTTTTTTATTACAACTATGACAAATTTGGGGTTTAAGGGATGTCTTGATGAGATTTTTTCTTTCCACGGACATGGGGTTCAACAAGGGGATCTCCTTTCTTTTTATCTATTTATTTTGTATGACTTTTTAACTTTATTCGAGAATGAAGTATTGAACGTGTTTCATCATATTCTTGATGTAAGGTTCTAGGAGTCTGAGCGCTTGTAGTTGTTGGCATTGGTCTCTAGCGATGAAAAAGGAGATGGAAAAAAAGGGTTACGTAGATGGTGAACTAGTGGCTGAAATGGGTAAATAAAATAAGATATCCGATGGAGAGTGAAAATGGCAGGAGTTGTGATGGACGACAAGGGAGTGAGTTAAGAGGGAAGGAAGATGATGAATATAATGACAAACAAAGTATGGATGACTTTGGATTATTGAAATTTAGGGTTTGAGATTTTAAATTAATTATAAAACTCATTTCATTTAGAGTATTCTCTTAACGTGTTAAATTTGTAATATGAAAGTTTTAACTCATTTAATGTAATTGTAATGATCACTTATTTCAACGTATCATATATTTTAATAGTTAGCTAACCTATCTTCTGATGTTATTAAAATATTGATATTTTTTTTATCACATCACACTTAAATCAATCATGTGAAAGCTTATATATCAATCATTAAAGTCTATCGCGCATTAACCTAAACTATTAACTACTCTTTCCACGAGAAGAATATTTTAATATTGAGATATTGTTCAATTAAATAACTTTTCTTATACCTCATCATAATGTTAATGCACATAACATCTTCATATATTTCAATATTAAAATTCTTCGAGACTAAACCTACCTGCATGTAAGAATCTAAACCAACATATGACATCTATCACGAATGAATCATATTTATTTTATTAAGGACAAAATTTATTATCATTTTCTACGTATCCCTTGAAAATCTATAGTAAATATGAAGCTACCAGTTTATGAAAATGAAAGGTTGACATGCCATAAATCTATTATGACTCGCCTAACACCCCATTTGAGCATCAATTGCTCATTATTTTTTCGTGAGAAGCTTTCATCCAGTAGCTTTTAGTGAGTCTTAAACCATCTCAAGCATTCCGAAAAATCTTTAAAAATTTCATCCCATTAATGCCTACTTGAAGAATTTTATCATATCAAAATATTTATCGTGTACTTCTTTCCTTTGAAGATGTAAATTTTAAGTATTCCGATTATGTACATATTGTAATGACTCGAAAGAAAAATAAACATGTAGTATATTAAAAAATATATAATAGATGTGTAAAACACACGAGTAAAACCAAAATCTTCTTTTACTATATTTATAATGATTATAGACTATCTAATTTTATGGTTTATATATGTATATATATACACACATATATGTATGTACACACCCACGAATAATTCATGGAAAGCATTTTGACAAAAGCAAGCGAGTGGCCGAATGAAGAAGGAAGTGGTGGTGGTTCCAGTCAAAAAGAACCGGCCCATTTTCACAGTCTCGAATTCGTGATGAAATCAAATCATCATATTCCGTCAAAGTCTCCAACCCCAACCAATCACAAACCAACAACAAAAACAAATTTATACCCAGTCCACTCCAACCATATTATATGTATATATATATATATATATACACAACACATATGTATACACAGCATGTAACGCGATGTGCCCATAAATCTACAAACAGATATTTTTTCACTCCAGAAATCCATTAGATCTTCTTTGGGAGTTCTCTGCACGGAAATGGAAGCAGAATCCACAGCACCTCAAGATTCACGCAGAGAAAATCTGAAGGATGCCGGATCAGTGGCGACGGAGGGAAACCGTGCGGGCAGGATAGCTTTCGGGGCAACGTCGTCGAGGTCGGGGGTTGGTTGTACGTGCTCAAGCCAGCCCGGTGGAACGAGATGCAGACGGCACGGGTACATGGTGCCGAGCAATGAGAGGCTGATGAGGAGGAGCCATGGAAGCAAAGAAATCCTGCGGAGAGCACTTTCGCCGCCTAATCGGAGGTTGAGTCTCAGGTGGTGGAATTTCCGGCCGACGCCTAGTCGTCTCTCTAACATGTCCATGGCCTGATTGATTGATTATCTCCTCTTTAAGTTGTTTAGGGTTTTTCTTTTTGTTTTGGTAGATTTGATTGAGAAGAGAGCGGGTGAGCGGAATCCAGTGAAACTTAATTTGGAATTCTGGTGGTATGTGTGTATATACATATATCTATTTATATGAACGGATGATTTTGTGTTTGATCTTTACATACATCGAACATGATTTTTGTGAATGATCCTCCATTAACTTTTCAAATTTCAAACTTCAAATTTCAAATTCCAAGCTGTTGTGGTGTTGAATCGGCCATGCGAATAATCTTGTTGAGTTTGAAGTTCAGAGGACGAAGTTTGACGGCTGTTTGGTTGCGTGCGAATTGTTATTCTTGTTTGACACGCACTGAGTAAGAGCTAGCTGTACTGGGTCCAAGACAAACTGGTTCTAACTAGAATCCACTCTCTTCTGGCTGTTGACTTTTTAAACCCGTCAACGACTGGGAAATGGGCCTGATGGGTCGAATCGGATTACTAGAAGATCCGAACCCGAGTCCGATTTTTAGTGATTTTTCAGTTTTCACTCAATTTTAAGGTAACAAAATACTATCAAGTTGATAACAAGGAGATGAAAAAGAACTTTCTA